CATGTCAAGGTCAAGGGTCACAAAGTTAGAGTAATGTTTTTCCTAAAAAAGTCTAATTAAATAAAAAATAAGAATCATTCTCCAAAACTGGAAATATAAGGAAATTAACCATACAATCTAACCATATGATCCAAGGTGCAATTCTATGAGTAGAAGCTTTTAACGAGATGTGGGAACCTTGTGAGAAAATTAATAAAATAATTGTCAATTAGTTTATGATTATATATATATTGGGGTGTCACAATAATATATCGCAATACAATAGTACAACAATATGTATCGTGGATAGTGACAATCTGAATTGTGTATAGTTCACCCAAAATGAAAATTTATTTGAGGAAAAAATTAGTTTACCGAGTTTTAGTGTCAGTACTACAGTACATTAAATTACTATATATAATGTTGAATATAATGTATATTAATGCAATGGGGGAATATTTGTGGGTCCTGATAGTGCCAAATGGCATACATTATTTTAAATATATCTAGTCAGTGACAGAGTGCAAGCATATTCGTCAGCTTTAGAAACAGCACCAAGTCCAAGCCTATTCATTTCCACTCCCAATGTAATATGAAATTTAGCATTTTAATCAACAGTACATTTTTTGTTAACCTGGCTTTTACCACATGTCTTAGAGTATCGCAATAATGTTGTATTGTGAATTCAGTATCGTGATATGTATCAAATCGTGACATGAGGGCATTATTACACCTCAAATATATATATAATCTGGTTCATGCATTTTCTGTTCTAAGATTAGGATTATGGAATTGGCTTCTTTTTTTCTTTTCTTTTTTTTGCTTGTACTGTAATTGTATGCATCAGTTGGTATGTTGTTTTGAATATTTTTGTGTATAATAATGATAATTAATTTAATTTAAAAAAACAGACAAAACATACTTACCCACTGGAATGACATCATGGCCGGCTTGGCCCTCCCCTGACTCCACCTCCATTTCCATTTCATCAAATAGAGCAAGTTCCTCTTCAAACTGGGAGGGACTATCCTCCCATTCTGTGCTAATTTTCCCCTTCTTGGCCTGTGAAGCCCCGCCCATTCCAGGGCCTCCATTGCGCCTTTTAAAGTCCATTCTGAAGCAGCCTTGCAAAAACAATTTCAACTCTTGAATTGATGAGCAAATTAAACACTCAAAAACACTTACGAACGTCCTGAGATGACTCTGTAAGTTGAAACCAAAAAAAGCAACAACAACAAAACACTTACAAAGGATCACTTCTATATTGTCAACTGAATATGTGTGGAATACAGAATATGTAGGCTATAACAAATTATTTATAGAGTATAAAGGAATATAATAAAGATATGGTACACGACACGCTAACTTACATAATTAAACGTCTTAGCTCAACTCTCAAAGCTAAAGAATAACATCAAAATTTAGAACAATAACATTAAAATGGAGTGCCTGACTACATCATTTACATAAAAGGGGCGGGGCTAATGAAACAAACGTACAAACTTGTTGAGTATTTCAACAAGCTGCTTACTATTTGTTTGTTAGACAGACATGTTGACGTTACTTATAAAACATTAAGAAGCAATTTCTGATGATCTGAGAGGGTCTTTAGGTTGAATCAACATACTAAAAATCAATGTGCATAAACATTCATATTTCGTTTCCCAAGCATTGTACACAAGTTATAGGCCTATTGTATAACTTTTTCACACTCTTATTATTTTACCTATAATTAATCGTAACTTGTAATTCAGCAATCAAAAGAATACAGTTTATTTTCACATTGCGTTTTAAATAATATAACGTTACTAGGCGAACTGGACAAACAAGAAACGTAGCAAACATGTTAGCAATTTACAAACAATAAAGAGTCAGCTAATTCATGCAACATCGCAAAAATAAGCTGCATCAGATATCGAGGTGAACTCTAGCAACGGAATAAATACATAATATTTCACCTTTTATTGCAGCTCGAGCTCTATTACTCCATATATGCACTAGATAAATCTCCCGCCACTTCACAGTGTTGAATGTCAGTTTCCACCGGACATGAGCAACATCCGTTTTCGTTTTCCCGGTAAAATTGCGTAGGTCCACGGAGGACTGCAATTGGTCAAAAAGAAGGAAGTGATTCGCCTTCATGGACGACGATAGCTGCCATGTTAAGAGGGTCGTCATTAAGAAAAGTGATTAAAAACAGTTTAGATAGATAGATAGATAGATAGATAGATAGATAGATAGATAGATAGATAGATAGATAGATAGATAGATAGATAGATAGATAGATAGATAGATAGATAGATAGATAGATAGATAGATAGATAGATAGATAGATAGATAGATAGATAGATAGATAGATAGATAGATAGATAGATAGATAGATAGATAGATAGATAGACAGACAGACAGACAGACAGACAGACAGACAGACAGACAGACAGACAGACAGACAGACAGACAGACAGACAGACAAGACAGACAGACAGACAGACAGACAGACAGACAGACAGACAGACAAGACAGACAGACAGACAGACAGACAGACAGACAGACAGACAGACAGACAGATAGATATATCATGTTTATTTCAGACTCATAAAAAGGTCCATAAGAACATACAAGGGAGACAGACAGACAAGTAAAAACAAAGGATTACTATAATCCATATAAACAATTTCTCCAGTGTCTCCAAAGCAGCGAGCTGTACCTAGTACTGCTCTGGTCAGGCCATACAAAAACAGTTATAATTTCATTTTGCGAGTCCATAAGTCCCGTCATAAATTTATAAACAGCATTTCTTATTACAGCATTTAGTGTGGTCACATCATTCTGCACACACAACTGGCTTGCACTGGTCCAGCGAGGTACTTTCAAAAGAATCCTAAGAGCATCGTTATATGCTACTTGTAACTTGTGAAATATAGCTTTTGTGTAGCAACACCACAGGTGAGCAGTGTAGAGTGGTGTGCAGTAGGCTTTAAACAAGGCTATTTTTACATTTTCTGCACACATTCCAAATTTCCGTGCCAGCATATTTGCCTGTGCATACAATTTACAGTACTGCCTCTGGATGTCATCATTATCAGAAAGGTCACTCCTTATAATGTGACCAAGGTACTTCACTTTTTCCACAACTGCCAGATCCCTTCCCGACAAGTGGAACATGGGAAATACAGCATTACGCTGCTCTCCAGTCCTCACAATCATCACAACAGTCTTTTTCGGATTAAACTTGATGTCATATCGTTCACCATATTCAGTACACACGTCAAGCAATTGCTGGAGGCCTGCAGAGCATGGTGACATAATGACCAGGTCATCAGCATAAAGTAAATGGTTTAATAGTCTTTCCCCTATCATGCAGCCAGTCTTACAGTTTTTCAATGTTCGGGAGAGATCATCCATGTAAAGATTAAAAAGCATGGGTGACAGGATCCCACCCTGCCTCACCCCATTAGTCACAGAAAAAGGTCTTGATATCACACTTCCCCATCTAACCTGCATTGTTTGATGTGAGTACCAAAAACCTAATATCCGGATTAAGTATGGAGGAACCCCTCGCTGTTGCAGTTTTTCAAACAGTTTGCCATGGTTGATGCGGTCAAACGCTTTGGAGGCATCCAAGAAGCACAGAAACACAGTGGAGTTCTGCCCTCTGTACTTCCTCACAGCCTCTTTCATGGCATAGATGCACATATCAGCTCCATGTTGACTTTTAAAACCAAACTGCTCATCAGTGGTGACAACATATTTCTGAAATCTATCCAGGAGCACAATTTCAAAAACCTTTGATATGACACAAGCCAATGCAATTGGCCTGTAATTGTCAATACAGGAGATCTTCCCCGTTTTATCCTTCACTACCGGTGCAAGTACAACAGATAACATAGAGCTAGGCATAGATAGATAGATAGATAGATAGATAGATAGATAGATAGATAGATAGATAGATAGATAGATAGATAGATAGATAGATAGATAGATAGATAGATAGATAGATAGATAGATAGATAGATAGATAGATAGATAGATAGATAGATAGATAGATGTGGACAAAGTACATCAATGTACAAATTAAAAACAGCTACAAGAAAAAAATAAAATGAGGTATCAGTCATGTTAATAAAAATAATAACTACAAAAACATAAAATAATAATTATAATACAAATTGAACAGTTGTATTTGTGGCAAAACGTCCTCTTCCCCAAAAACAGGACTGCCAGTGTTTGTGTGTATTTGCATTATCTGCAAAATCCTTGCTTGTAAAGAACTGCACTGACCTTTCAATTTCAGCTTTTAAGCACTTTATTGGTATGATTGTGTACATACAATATTGCCAAAGCATTATACACAAAACAAGTAATGACAAGTAAAGGAAATATATACAATATTACAATAACATATGTGTATATGTGTATATATGTGTATATACACTGTGTGTGTATATACACATATATACATGTTATTGTAATATTGTAATTGTGCACACACACACACACATATATATATATATATATATATATATATATATATACATACACACACTGTATGTATAGTGTATATATATATATATATATATATATATATACACTATATACAACAACACTGTGTACATATATATATATATATATATATATATACACTGTATATATACACGGTATATATTACACCTTTTTTAATACTATTTTATTATATATTTTTTGTCATTTATGTACATGGGTCTTTGATTATAGTGATCAAGGCAGTAGTTGGTTTCTGAGAATGTGCTGCTGAAAATGCGCACAAAAAGCATAAAAAGCCAAAAGCTTAACTTCCTTTATGAGTTGTCTAAGGAAATTGTTTAGCCAATCAAAATGATCATTCAGGTAAACGCCTAGTTCTCTGTGGAAGTGGTGTTGCGACCATAGGTTGCACGACCGTAGACGCTGCTCTTCATTTACCCAGAGATCAAGGAGGAGGCGGAGACGGTGTCAGATAAGACACTCCCCCATTTTTATGACGTAACTGGACGCGTGCGAGCTGTCACTCTGACGGACAGCCAAATTGTCCAACAGACAAGGTGAATCTGCGCAGGAGACTCCGCCCACTGTCAAATCAGCCTCCTGGTGATTGATTTCAGCAGATGCGAAGCTTGCGCCGCTGAGCGAGGAAAAGACACTACCGCAGGGTGAGTGCATAACAGCTTTTCTCAGTTGTCAGTTTGAAATTAAATGTCCGTGTGTTTTAAAACCCGGAGAGGGAAATTATCTTCAATCTGCAAAGCCCGTGATTACTGTCACGCGCAGTGCTCTTCGTTTACCCGTGTCTAACCCACTTTTGCAGCCTGCTCTCGCCTGGCCAGTCTGTCCTTCCTCAAGCGTGCAAGACGAAATTCCGCAACTTGTGACTTTTTTGATCGTGTCCATCTGTTTATTCTATGCACTTTCAATACTATGCCCACGAAACACTTTATATGTTGTTTTGTTATGGTGACAAACAATGATGTTCTGCGTTTGACTGTTGTGTGGTCAAAGCGCACGTACCATGTCTGGGCGCGCGCGCGCGCACACGCAAACCGTATGCGTCCGAGAGAGACTCGGTGGTAAAATGCCCACTACCAGTCATAAATGACACTTCACCAACACTTCAATATACTACATTGGGGTTTCAAAATCCAAGTAACCATTGCGTGAAGGTGTGTTTATAATGTATGGAGGACCTTTTAAGTAACGTTATTTAATTAATGAATCCTGGCTGGGTTTATAGGGACTAGTCTATAAGCCTCTTCTCTCAATTAACGTTACTTTCTGTCCTTCTCGTAAAACAGGCCTATGTTGCTCAATGTATGTTGTAATTGGAGGGTGTGTAAGTGATGGTGTGATTGACTGTCCCGGTATTACATAGTGTTGTGATCACTGTAAAAAAAATTGTGATGTATGAAAGATCATGCCTGGACTTGAGATGAAGGCATAATGTCACAATGTATTTGTAGACCTCTCACCTGATCTGAACATGCACTTGCTCATAGTTCTTGCTCATAAGAGGCTTTTTCAAAATGTGTTTCCATGTGCAAATCTGAGAGGAAGAGCCAATGAGCCATGCTGGAAGATGAGTCATTATAATGAAATGCTGTGGATATAAATTGTTGTCATTTGGGGAAAGTGAGGAAGTGTGTGTGGTGCATATGGTTGAAGGTCATATACTGATGTAGACAGCTCTTGTGTGTCACATAAGGCTACATGTGTCATTGTATGATGGATATAAGTGACACATTAGTTTAAATGTTAGGAGTTCAATGTAGATGAGACTAAAAACATGGATAAATTGATTGATATTATCATTGTTTTCCATTACCCAGCATGCCACTGGCACGCAGTTTGTCGGTCACCTCCCTGTCTGGCCTGGAGGACTGGGACGAAGAGTTTGATCGGGAGGATGCAATCCTCTTCGAGATCGCATGGGAGGTCTCTAATAAAGGTGTGCGTGTTTCTTTTCTTGGTTACGATGTTTCGTTGCTAATGTATCATCATAGACATTTCAAATCATATCCTCAAAAATCTACACTACCATTTAAGTTTGGGGTCAGTAAGATCAAAATGTTTTTGAAAGAAGTCTCACCAAGGCTGCATTTTTTTAATCAAAAATAAAATAATACAGTAAAACAATATTGTGAAATATTGCAGCATCGTTACTCCAAACTTCAGTGTCACATGATCCTTCAGAAATCATTCTAATATGATGATTTGGTGCTCAAGAAACAAACTCTTCTGATTATTATTACCAATGTGGAAAACAGTTGTGCTGCTTTTTGTGGAAACTGATTTATTTTTCAGGTTTCTTTGAAAATAATCTTTTGTAACATTATAATATGATATGTCTTTACTGTCACTTTTGAACAATTTAATGCATCCTTCTGAATAACATTATAAATTACTTTTTTTTTTTAAATACCCCAAACTTCGGAACTGTAGTAAATTTATGTAACCCAGTAGGTTATAACTGTGTTGTTAATAAGTTACTTCAATTTATTAGCTTGTATTTGTTTAATTAAGAGAGAAAATGTGAATTAACCATTCATCTTTGTTTGTGATCATACGTGTATTTGTGCCTTTAAGAGCGCGCGTGCATGAGATACAAGTTTTATAGAGGTGTACTTGTGGAAAACGTGGCTTTAACCATCAAGTTAGGTGCTTGATTATTTTATTGGTGTATGTGAATTAAGTCCCGCCCTCACTGGTGTTTTGTGTAATGTGAGTGGTTGTTCGGGACATGAGAGTTTTTGTTGACAAGCGCGAGAGAGAGAGAGAGAGAGACGGAGATTCAGAGAGACGCGTTTGCGGGTACAGAGTGATTTGATTGACGATTTATAAGTTTAAACAACCTTTAACTGTAATGTAGATCCAAGATGAATCGCTTGTGTGTGCGTCTTTGAGTTTGTAGCCAGTGTTTTTATAGTTTTTGTTTCGTGTGGCTAACCTGCCGTGTGGGAGCGAATCCGAGTGTTTTCGTTTAGTTATCACTGCGCATATCTGCGCATCTGAACTGATTACAGCGACAGTTAAACAACCGACTAAAGACTGTTTAACCTGGTTGTTGCCCTTCACAACGAGGGAGACCTTGAGGACCAGATAGCGCCCCAAATACCCGCGTTATTTGGGGTTCCTCTGGCGGCGTGGGAGGTGCATTTCGTCGGCTGACGAGGGAGAGAGAGGACGAGGAGCTGCGTGACGCCTGCTGCAGGATTCCGGAGTTGCGGTATCATTGCACGTGGAATTGAGGTATCTTTGTTTGAATTGTTTTGTGCTCAGGAGAGTGAAGGGGCCATTTGTCAGTTTCCCGGCCACCACGAACACGAGCCACGTTTCAGGCCTGCAACGGGGTGGGGTTGAGTCAATGACTGGTGTGTGTGTGTGTGTGGGCCCACCGCATTAAATATTGGTACATTCTAGTATTATTCAGTGCACTGAACATGTAATTGTTTATATTCAGAGTATATTTGGTATAATTTGTGAGTTATTGTATACATTTATCCCATTGAGGTCATTGGTTTAAGATATACTGATTCTATTGGACCTGTATACTAATTTCAGTAGGTCGGGCATCTGAGAAATTGTCCTTCGAGGATTAAATTGTGTCCCATTTAATGTGAATGTGATTGTGGGAACACTTCACATTCTGAAACTCATTGTTTGAGCCAGTTAACATTTGATCATTCTATTACAATTAAATCCTTTATTTGTTTTGTACTTTTACCAGTGTGTTATTCTTTCAGAAGTGTTTGTTGACTTCATCAGTTTGGGGGCGTAGAGATTTAATTCTGAGTAACTTCGTAAAAGGAAAGTATAGATTATTATTCTAATTTTCTAAAAGAGAATTAATTCATTTAGTGACACCAGAGGGGCCTAACTTCAACATCTGTAGGCATATAGTTAATGAATCTGGAGCGCTGTCCTACTTAGTTACAAGAAAGACAGGTAGGGGGCGCTACATAAAGTGGGGGCTCGTCCGGGATCTCCCTCTGTGAGTCACACAATAGTTGATGCTGAAAGAAGAAAAAGAGGAATTAAGCTCAACACACCCCTGTAATTACATCATAATTAAGTGAAAAGTGCATAAAGTGTCATCATGGCTCTATCAAAAGACCCCAGTCTCCAAGCAGAGTTGGCCAACTGGTGCAAAGATGCTAGCATTGAAGAGACTCATGCTTTAATGCTGTTAAACGTACCCGTTCACACCGAAGTGGCCGAAATTGAAGAGGCGATGGAAGCTGTAAAAGCTCTAGGGAGAGTTCGTGTAAGGGACACGAGAGAAGGACCCACTTCACATTACCTGCTGGTGTTGTGTGAGTGCAGACAAGCCATCGACCCAAAGCGCATACCTCCTGAAGTGTCACGGGGAGACAAGAAAGAGCCATGGCCAGTCATAGTAATCCAGACAAAGGAATCGGCTGCTGACACCGCTTCTGCAGGTTTTACAGAAAAGTTTGCGAAGTTCCTGATGGAAGAAGGAAAGTCTCTTAGCGATGTACATGCTTTGATTTCTCCACACAGTGCCACCGACAGTTCCCCTGAGTCAATTATACGCGCCATGGGTGAGGTCCTGGAAAGGACAGTAAAGCACTCGAGTGACAGCAACACCTACCGACGCCTGCGCACCTTTTCAGCCGTAGTTCCAACCCCCATGGGTGAGGAGAATATGGAAAATTGGATTGATCAAGCCAGGCTGCTGATAACTGAGTGTGACTGCTCCGAAAAAGAAAAACGACGCAGAATTGTGGAAAGCCTCAAGGGACCTGCAATGGACATTGTAAGAGCTGTTAGATTCTCTGATCCTGAAGCTAGTGCCTCACAGTATCTGGAAGCGTTGGAGAGCACCTTTGGATCATCTGAGTCTGGTGAGGATTTATACTTCAAGTTTCGTCTTATGCGCCAGGGAACAGGGGAGGCCTTGTCTGAATTCCTGAGACGGATGGAGAAGACCCTCAGCAAAGTAGTGGAAAGAGATGGACTGACTCACAGTCTGGTCGATAAAGTACGAGTGGAACAGCTGATTAGAGGGGCGGTGAATTCTGACATGATGTTGCTCCAACTGAGGCTGAGAGAAAGAAAAAATCACCCACCTTCTTTCCTGAGTCTGCTGAAGGAAATCCGTGAGGCGGAGGAGAGTGAATCGGCTCGCCACAGAATGTCTGCAAAAGCTAAGGCCATACATTTCCATGAAGAGGAAAGAGCCAGCACGTCTGTTATCCAGGAACTCAAGGCCGAGCTTCAAGAATTGAGAACCCAAATAAGGGGAGTTGAGCCAAAAGCCATGTCTACTTCATCATTAGTGATTGAAACTAAAGAAAAACCATTCAAGAAGACTGAAAAAACTGATGATTCAGAAGTACAAGAGTTAAAGAAACAGGTCCAACACTTACAGCAGCAGTTGGCAGTTCTGAGTGTCAGTTCTACTCAATACTCACCTCATGTTCCAGAGCAGCGGCCAAAACCATCCCAGTCTGTTTCCACGTCGTTAAGATACCAGTCAGCCCGAACAAGAGATGACTACTTCTGCTACAAGTGTGGAGAAGATGGCCATATTGCCACAAAGTGTCAAGCGCCACCAAATTCTGATCAAGTGATTCAGAAGCTGATTCGTTCTTTGAGGCAGGTAAAGGGTGGAAAGCCTGAGACGGCTGACAATAGAACTACTCAAAACCAAGCCTGTTTCTCCAAAAAGAGCCAGACCACCGTCCATGAATCCAGCCGTCTTCCTAAAGGACTAGTAGGACCGGCATCCACTGTAAAAGTGAAGCTTAATGATCGTGTATGTCAAGCACTGTTAGACAGCGGATCACAAGTGACGATTGTGTTTGAAAGCTGGTATTCCAAGAATCTGCCTGATGTGCCCATTCACCCGTTGACTGGATTATCCATATGGGGCCTCAGTTCTTCCAGTTACCCGTACAAGGGATATATCATCGTGGATGTCACATTTCCTGCCTCTGTCACTGGTGTGGAGGAGCCGTTGTCCATCCTGGCTCTTGTATGTCCTGAACCCCAGGGTCCTTCCCAATTGCCAGTCATTATTGGTACCAATGCCAGTTTCTTCACCCGCCTTGCGACCCTTAGCCATGATACAGAAGGATCCAGTGTTGCACGTGCTTTGAGAATCCAGACTCGACACCCTGCAATCCATCTGTCACCGCCGAAAAAACCGGACCCTCTTCCTGATTCACCTGAAGGAGAAGTTCGATGGATAGGACCTGGCGATTGCGTAGTTCCCCCGAGGGGAGAAGTGTGTGCTGTCTGTAAACTGGAGACTGACAAGCCGTTAAGAAAAGAGATTTTTGTGGTGGACACGCCTGAGGACGCTAGTCTTCCAGCTGGAACATTCATAACCCCAGTGGTACTACCATCATCCGCCGTAGAAGGACAACGCATCCAGGTGATGATCCATAATGTAACATCAAAAAATATCTCCATTCCGGTGGGAACAGTAATTGCCAATGTATATCCAACTGACACACTCACTGCCAGGACTGAAGAACAGAGCTCCCAAGCAATAGACCCAAGTTTGTTTAAGTTTGGTGAGTCGTCCATTTCTGAGGCCTGGGAACGGAGACTGCGCCACAAGTTGGCCACCAGAGGTGATGTGTTTTCTGTTGAAGAATGGGATGTTGGATTAGCTCGTGGAGTGGAGCATCCCATCAGACTGAAAGACCCAAAACCGTTCCGCGAACGCTCCAGACGCATCGCTCCTGCAGACATCGAGGATGTACGACGTCACATCAAAGACTTGTTAGCAGCGGGAATAATTACAGAGTCAAGGAGTCCGTATGCATCGCCCATTGTGGTAGCACGGAAGAAGAGTGGGGCAATCAGAATGTGCATCGATTATCGCACTCTAAATGCTCGTACTATCCCTGATCAGTACACTACTCCCAGGATCGACGATGCCTTGGACAGTTTGGCTGGTAGTAAATGGTTTTCCGT